TGCACTCCGAGCATGGTGCGCGATGTGTATGATTGGTGGTGCCGATGGCGTCGCGACCTGCTATCACTGTGGCTGGACAAGGTGCCTGCGGCCCCTGTGGACCGAGGAAGACTCCGGCGACTCACTCCCAGGCGACCCCGACAACGGAGTGGAGAACTGACATGGGCTACGGGAAGGCCCCGCGGAGCGAGCAGGGACCTCAGCCTCCGACCTGGCCAATGAGGGCTGGTGGGCGCCCAGCGGCGGCTTCCCTCAGGACTGGGGCCCCAACTCAGGTGGCCCGCTCAGTACCGGCATGATGAGGATGTCGTGCACTGCCTGCTTTGCAGACTGCTTACAAATCTAAGGACCAAATCTTCAAATCATGATAGCGCTATTGACTTCAAAGGAGCTATGCTGATCACACCACCTTATGATCTGGTTTTAAGCTGTTAAGTGGATGGTAGTTTACTACAAAAATAAGAACAGCTATATTGGGTCAGACCAATGGTCCATCCAGCCCAGTATCCTGTCTTCCGACAATGGCAAATGCCAGGTGCTTCAGAGAGAATGAGCAGAACAGGCAATCATCAAGTGATCCATCCCATTGCCCATTCCCAGCTTCTGGCAAAAAGAGACTAGGGACACTTCAGAGACAGATGGGCAGTCTTCTTACAGGGAAAGAAACACATAGAAAACAGAATCAGAGCTAGACACAGCAGACAAAGATAGAGAGTATTTGCAAAATTTTGATCTGGGTTCAGTTTTTCACCTGGGACAGGATATTTCAGATTTGAGACAAACTCATAAGGAAGTTGCTTAAAGATATATCTACTAGAAGGGCATTTGAATGTGCAGAATTTTGAAACTTCTGTATCACATCAGACCTGACCGCATTTTTCATTGCATCACTATGGAAAACACTCTTGCAGTCTGAAGTCTAAATATGACCTCCTGAACTGTTCTCATGGAGCAACTCTATAATATGATGGTCAATGCTCTCATCTGGCAGCTGGGTTTTTAAGAAAACGTGGTATTCTTGACTAAAATTCTGGCTTGGCTCAGGAGGTCATTGAATGTGGATGATTCTGTCCTTGGTGGTTTTTCAGTACTACTTACTTCCAGAAAAATTTGGAAGCAGCCACCTCCTGCAGTTCTTTGCTAGGATCACTGCCAGACAGAGAGATTCAGGCAGATTCATTTGCTCCACTTTCCCAGTGATTCAGTTTTCTTCCAACACCACCTAATAAAGCTGTTGAACATAGGAAGTGCTGGTAAAAAACTGGTCTTCATTTCCTTCTGGCCCCAGTCACATGACACAAGTCAAAGCTCCAAACTACCACTAGTCAATGGCCCTGGTGGCTGCTGTTATGCCTACCTGTACTCCTTGGGGATCACTGGCAAGGCTCCCATTGTTGCTTCTCCACAGACATAAGGACGCTAGTGGAAAGTAGCCAAATCTGTAAGGCAGCTTACAGTGGCCATAGAGGGTGCTGTTGCCCATGGACTGCAGCAGTGGCATTGGAACAATTTTTATAGTGGGGGTGCAGAAAGCCATTGAACAAAACTATAAACCCTGCATTTGATGGAAACCACTGCAAGCTGGGGGTTCTGCCACATCCCTAGTTCCAGCACCCCTGTGTTGCAGTAATGGCAATGGAGAAGCTCCAAAGCTGTTCATGAGCCTGGAGGGAAGTGGGGTGGGGACAAAGTCTGTCTGTCTCTTTCACACTCACATCCTCTTCCCATGTGCAAAGCCTGTTTACTGGATCTTTGAGCAGCTGGAAGGATTTGCGTTACAGTGAGCACACAACATAGGAGGTGGTTGTAATTTCCAGGAAGCTTTTCCCTCATATTGTGACACTTTACCCTGTGGTCATGAGGCTGACGATCTGTATCATCTTCTCATAAGATGCAATTTCCCAAGACCAGGAAACCAACCCTTAATTGTGGTAACGTGTATTTTGCAGGCACTATTGCAGTATTCACGCCAGTGCTAAATCTAGTCATCTCCGGGTTGTGACGGGCTGGCTGAATCCTTTAAAAGCTCCTAACAGTATTAAATGGTCAGAGGTAGGTGTTTCAAAACAAACTGGCTTAAAAAGGTAATATCGCTACTTTTATTTATGTGCTGCAATACAGTAGCAGGTGTGTGGGTATTTCTTCCACTTCTGAAATGAAGGAAATACTTTACCTCCTTACTTCCAGGGTCTGATCCTGTGAGGTGATGAATGCCCCTGCAGGGACTGAATAGGCTTGATTGAAAATTAAAAAGAAAATATATATTTAAAAATAAGGGACTTTTTTTTGCAAAAAGTTCTCTGCAAAATGTTCCCATTATTCGATTTGTGAATAATTCCCTCCACTCCTGCCAAAGAGAAGAGCCATTGTTATACAGTTATGTCAACCCTGCAGCTGAAAGTGAGCCTCCCAGCCCTGGCAGACAGAGTTTTGCTAACCGGTCTTGCGCTCACTGAAATAGCCGTGTGCACCAGCAGACGCTTGGGATAGCGTCTAGTCAAGCCTACCCTACCCCCAACTCTGAGCTTGGGTGGCTATCCTGAGCCTCTGCCAGTGCCGCAACGTTCACAGCTATTTTTATTACGCTAGCGCCCGCCCCACCAACACAACTCTGCCTCCCTGGGAAAGAAGGCTCACTCCCAACGGCAGAGTAGACATACCTATGTGTTAAAGTAGTAATGGGGGGGGGGGGGAAGGAGCCATTTCTACTTCGATTTCCACATGTTCTATGGGGATGATACCCACCTTGGTACAATACAGTAATCAGACTATAGCAAGTTCAATACATATATGAAAATAGGAGAACTATTCCCAAAACCACTCCAGGAACCAGTACAGATGTCCACATGGCCTTATGGGACAAATTATGGGTATCATTCAGTCCCATAACTTGTGACCTTTGCCCTAAACCCCCATAACTATAGGAAGACAATGATGTTTTAAGAAGTTTATTAAATGATCACGTTCAAATAAACAAGCACTTTAATTAAATGTGCTATCATAAACAGACCCAATAGGCATGTAAACTTCAAATATCCAATAGCACAAAACCACAGGTGCGTGTCTGTGAAGTCCACATTTAATTTTAGTAATTGCACGCTTGCTTATTTTAATGCATGATCATACTAAATCTGTTTACTTTCTGGTTGGGAAGTACACACTTTGCAACCCTGTACCTTTTTCACACCATGTTGTAGAATTGAGTTGCTTGTAAGAAAACTAGCATGTTTCTGCAGCAAACCTTCCACAAATGACCTGTTAGGTTGAAATGTGTTCAGAAGAAACTCCTTAGCAGGGTTCAGAATACACTTCGTAAATTTTGTTCTTTTTTTAAGAAGCCATGTGGAGTTCTTTAAAGTAGTTCAAAGTTGTAGTATGGACAGATTTCTAGAAATGATCTGCTGTGCACATTTACCAAAAGTAACTGGATCATATTTGTTGTAGTAATCTGTATTCAGTTACTACAGAGAATAGCACCATAGAAATGCTATGAATTAAAGTTACATTTTTATTTTACAGCAAGACAACTACTGGTAATTAACACAAGTTTTTTGTGTGTGTGTTTTTTAAGGCAACATTAGTTCAGTTGAATAAAGTAAAAACAGATTTATATTCCAAACATTTGATTTATTCAAAATTTATTTTTTTAAACAAAAACAAGACAATGATTTTAAATAATAAACATGGTATATTCTAGACATCTGTTGATCAAGACTTTTAAAACTAACCATATTTAACCATAACTTTTATGCAGTTCTGTTGCAGTGCCCTCTGCAGTACTCAAAAGTATTGGTTTCCATTTCATCAACTCAACTTTCTAACAATACAAGAAATCAAGCTGTTTGCTTAAATGAAGCGTCATTTTTTTTTTTTAGTGATGAAGGCTCCACCAATGCAAAAAGCACATCAACAGTTATTCGTCATACCTACAAACTTTAAAAAAAAAAAAATGAAGTCTGTTCAGCCTTTTTGGTTTTTCTTTTACACTGCCCACATGGAGAACAGCGTAAAACTAAGTAACAAGCTCGGCTTCACTTTAGCAGTGCAATGAATGGCGTCAACCAAACTTCATGAAACAAATAAAATATACACATTGTCAGCAAAATTCATCTGTATAGTAGTGATTAAAAAAAAGCAACCTTTTAGTGGGTCACAACTAGACTGGTTTTCAGCGTGCACCTTTCCTCAGGAAGAGTTTCTCCCTGATTCACATGTAAAGAATGGAACATGCATCAAAAAGCCTTTGTTTTCATGTAGAAAAAATGCCCTTCAAAAACAAATTCAGTGATGTCATAAGGCAAAAGAATATGAAGCTGGGTGAAGCATTTTGCCTCAGAATATGTACACACACACACACGTGTGTGTGTATATCAGATACACAAGTAATGGATTGGCTCAGTAAGGTGAAAAATTGTCCATTTTTTATAAATACATATAATTATTGCTAATATGCTACACATTATGCTTTGACACAGGAGTGGCGTATAAATTAGGATTTAAAGCTGCCATAGTGACAATGCTAGCCCTGCATTTAGCAGCAGACATTCATCCCATTCTCAAGAAGAAGCAGTATACAGTTATAAAAAAACATAAGGCTTATGCAATGTCCCTCTCCAATTTTGCTTTGTACGGTTTTAAATTTTTTTTTTAAATATTTAAACAAAAAAACCCAAACAAGTCCAGTTCACCACAAGTTAAGAACAATCTCACAATGGGGGTGGAAAACAAGTTCATAGGAGCCGAGAGGGAAAGAATACAGCATGCATTTACAACTTGGTTATAATCTAGTCCTTAATCATACCATTGGAATACAAAAAAATCCAATTTAAAGACTAGACTAAAAGTAGAAGGCAAAAAGCCAAGAGTGTAGACTTAGTTAAATTAAGGGTACAATGTAATCAGTAACAGCAAATTCATCCTGCCCGTTAATATACTCACAATATCTACTGCAATTTAATATTTATTCATGACTAGTATAGGTATATTATCTGCTTACTTAAAAAAAGATATTAAATACCTGCATCATGAAATTACATTCTTATTAACAATAAGACATTGTGTAAGAAAATAGCTCATGTGTGAAATGTTTTTGAACTGCATCCCCCCCCACACACACAATTATCAAAACATTCACCCACAGAAACAAAAAACTCCTTAAAGAGGACAGGAATGATGAAGGGGATTAGCTAGGCTAATTACAGCACAGTGATAACAATGGTTCAAGACAGAACCAATCAGAGTTGGCCAAAAGATGCCCTCAACACATGGCTAACTAATAATTCCACCCACCCACCCCAAACTCAGTCCACTTTTGGTTCATTGCAAATGAGACAAAAAAAAATAGTTTTAATATATACATATAAATACAAGACTCCAGCTTTTGTTTTTTGCAAGGCCTAGTTATCTATTAGTTTATATTTGCTCTGCAGCAACTACAAGAGGTAGGCATAAAGCATCTAAGGACTTCTCTCCTAGTGTTCCGCTACTAGCTCCATCTTTCAAATGCTGCAGAAGCCTGTTGTACTTCTGTAGTGATGTTACTCTCCAATCTGCTGCAATCCAATGGACAAAGGCCATTTTACCTCTCAATTTACTAAGATAGCGTACCACAGAGCAAGAAGCTTTTCCTGTACTGAAGGATACTGTCTTTAGAGTTTACTGCAGAACATTCATAAAGAAAATGGATCCTGGGACCAATTCTCTTGATTTCCTTTTATACATAAAAAAGAAGGTACCATTTGGCCAAAACTACAGATGTATTTTTTCACAGATGCAAGTGCCATGCAAAAATAAATTAAAGAACAAATACCAAAACATACAAGTAATAAAACTATTGAAGGTAGATTTTTTTAAAAGCATTTATATAAACATAATTTATAATACTTTTTTTTCTCCTTTTTTTTCTTTTTTGAAATACAGTCACAAAGCTGGGGCTATACATCAAGGATTTCCTCTGCAGTGCCTCCACAGCGTAATCTGTAGCGTCCTGTCCTCCAACTAATAGTGGGGTCCCATAAGGCAGATAGGAAAATGTATATTGTCATGGATTCTCTGATGAACCAAGCTACCGCATAATCAAGTTTTGAAAAACACGGGGCACCACCCTGGGAATGAAACACAGACATTAATATTTAATGCAACTACTAAATTAAATATTTATTTTATGGGCACATCTTGTTTAAAGAGAAGTGTATTATCATATGTGTACAGTCTTTTATCAATTAAATTGTGTTTGGTTAAGCAATTATCCTCAAAATATACAACAGCATCCATTTTGCCAACATACTGTAGCCTACCCAATTTCAAAGCAACCCATTTAGTAAATATTTTCAATACTGTACTGTGTTTCAGCCACAGTGGAAAGCTTTGGGGCCTGATTCAACACCCAATGAAGTTAATTAACTTTACTGGGAGATGGATCAGACACTTAGAAACCAACAGTAACAACAAGAAGATACAATTTCAAAAGTACTCTTGGTCAAAAGAAAGCTTATATTATTTTCACATACACAGTCTGAAAATTGTTGTACTTCTCAAACAAAGTTAACTATTCACCTGCCGTGATGAATACTACACATTAAATGGTAGGATCATGGCATGATCACTAGCAGGGTTTGAGAAATCACTTGTGTACAGGAGGAGGAGATGGGGGAAAAAGGAGAATGGCTCAAGTTTCTCATTAGTTAACTGTCTCTTCAAATGAAGACTATAAAAAGAGACCTTCAAATAGACATTCCATTTTAGGCAACAGAGATGAGTTGGAAAAGCATCTCACACACACTAAAGTAGTAGTTAGTGGGCCAGATGCTTGGGTACTCCCAAAGAGTGAAATCCACCCTATACAGAGAGCATGGCACAAGACCTATGTACCATTTAAGCCTACAGAACAGGGCCTAAGGAGGATGTAAATAGTGCACAGGTCCTGTGTGGTCCCTCTGCACAGGGGTGTATTTCATTCCAAACGAAAAGCACATAAGATAAGGAGGGTGGAGAGGGAGAGGGGAGTGCAAAACTGGCACGAAGCTCCCACTGGCACTACCCAATGCTAGCCTTGCTCGTGGTGCATGCATTCCACCAGGTGCTGTGTGAGAGCAGCCAGAGAGATGTTTTTAAGTCATATCAGCCTATAAGGGCCACATGGAGCCAAGGCACCTACACCAAGGTCTATGAAATGCAATGGGGCATGTGGTTCTGCCTCTTCCTTCCCCACTACAGCGACAGCAAAGGTGGTGTGTAGAGAATGAGCCCCTAAGTCAGCCATATGCCACTGCAGGATCATCCTTATACCAGATGTTCCTCCCTGGGCCGTAGTACACTGGTAGTGTGTCCAAGGAGAGTGAAATGCTCCTGAGGATTTGGACCAGAATCACCAGAACAAAGGTCAGATGGCAAGCTGAAGAAAGGTAAAAATGTCCAGGACTCCAATTCTGCCTGTGCTCTGAAGCAGTGGTGCTGTTTCTTTGCCTCCAGTAGTAAAATGAAACTGATTTTGAATCAATTTCACACCACTAAGGGTGCTGGCAAGAAGAACGCCAGGCACAAGACCAAATGCAAGATTTCAATGCTAGTCAATTCTAAGATTTTTTTTTTTAAGAAAAAAGAGGGAGGGAGAGTGGTGGTGGTGCAGAAAGGAGGGATCAATTTGAAAGATTCCTGCAGTGCCATCTTGAGACCAGAACACTATGATCCATGCAGTGGTTTCCCATATTTGAAATTCTGTTGAAGTCCTGTTGCCGCTCCCTCCCCCCCAGTAATAAAGTCCCCTCATTGCATTTCTACTGCTGATTTTATATTTTTTCTGTACCATTTTCAAGTTAGGGTGAATGTATAAACAGCTCAGCTTTCTTAAGTCACAGGATATGCCTACACTTAGAGCTAAGGGCGTGATTCTCAGCTCAAGGATACATAACCACACCAGATCTGATCAAACTAGCATGTTAAAATAGAGTGCAGCCACGGCCGAGCAAGAGGTGGCAGGGGCTAGCCATCCTAATTTCATGCCTATGGCCTCAGACAGGATTGTACTCTGGGTAGCTAGTCCCTCCCCCGGCTCATGCCGTGGCAGCTACACTCTATTTTTAGTGTGCTAGCTCAATCAGAGCTAGTGTCTCCTCAAGCTAAGAATCACCACCACAGCTCACCTCATAGACATACCCACAGGCTTTGCAGCTAAAGCAGGTTAAAAACAAACACCAATCTCCTCGTGCATCACCAGGAATAAGCTAGGTTTTAGGCCATGAGTAGTTCATACCTTTTCCCTCCCTAGGCATTTGAGTGTATAATATCTTGAAGGGAAAAGGGAAGGTGCTCGTAAGCAAACATCTAGAGAAGATGCTTGTCTTTCAAGTATCATATTTCAAAATTCCCTAAGTTTGCAGAGAGAGGCAGTATTTACAAAGAACAAAACTAGAACAGAAAGCCAAATTCTGTCCTGCCTTACATTCATGCAACCCCAGCTTAAATGGGAGTGTAAGATAGCAGAAAATGCATGAGGCCAAATTCTAGCCTATCTCCCAGGATGGTGCTTTATACAAGATTCTCAAGTGAAGTCAGTTTTAACTGTAATAATGGCATTAGCAATACCTTTCAGTATAAGACACAGGTCAATATGGACTCCAACTACATACCTGGACACCCCTTAGTTGAATGTAGTCAAATATAAACCATGCCAAACAGTGACACATGAAAAATACCATTATATCCCATCTGAAAACATGATGAGCGGCCCATCCAATAATTAAACTGGCAACAAAACATTCAGAGATTGGCTCACAAATTATCGTAGCAGGCAGCATGTTAATTCTCAGTTTGGCCCACCTAAAATTAAAAATATAAAAAGTCTATTTTTAATACCAGGCAAACTTTGCTGCATAATACATAGTGAAAATTCTGTTTTCATTTCCTCCCCTTTCCCTCAATAAGTTGTGCTTTACGTTTCTTTTCAATAAAACCCTCCTCTAATCTTTTGCTTAATACCCACTCCAGCAAATATTGGCATAAACAATATCTGTTATATGGTTATTGCACACAAAGTCCAAAACGTCTCTACTGGAGTATACTGAAGTATTTAGAAAAATGCTTGCTTACATTTGTTCTATTAAATGCTCTTCAGTGTTTATTTCTCTCTCAATAATACATTAGAAAGCTCTCCCGCATGAAAGCTGCATCAGAATGTAAACTGATACTTTAGCAGTTCTATTTGGGCTACTAGGTCAAATGGTTAGTTCGGAAAAGTGCATTATACCTTATAATTGTGAACTGATTGGAGGCAATGACAGAGAAAGACAGGAGAAAAATCTATATAGTTAGAATTTTTACCTGATCATTCTGGATTGAAACTGTGAAATGGAATATGAACCAGAGTTTTGCATTGCAACTTGTGTGGCCATTGCAAATTTCCAACCTCTGAAAATGAATGCACGTCATAAGTAACTTCCAAATAACATACGTAAAGAACAACTCAAGTGTTGAAGGACACGTTATCATTGCCATATATGCTGTAATAAAATGGTTAAACTATCATGCTGAATATAAGCAATAATTTCTCTTTCCACACACAAGAGAGACTGGTAATTGAAAAAGGAGTCACATATTACTACTTCAGAAAACCTGAGCCAACAGCAACAACACAGATTATGTTTGTGCCATGTTCACAGAAAAATTGATCCCTTGTAGACTTCTGAAATTGAGATGCAAGTTTAATTACTTCTCAAAGGATCTATTCATATAGGATAGATGGACACACATTTGCACCATTGTTCTTAGTTATTTGCACTGTGGCAGTATCTAGAAACCCCAGTCAGTCACAATCTCTTTGGGACCGACATGGCACTAACACACAGGTAGGCCCGTACCTTGCCACAAAAGAGCTTGCACTCTTATTTGAAACAAGATGCAAGGAATGTGACTACCAGGAGGAGAAAAGGGATGAGCACGGTAATGAAAATAAGTTTCCATGATTCCATAGGTTAGTGTGTGCATAGCTTGGGGGTTCCAAATCAACTGAAAGGTGTTTTTTTTTTTTTTTAAATAATACAATCATATATCCCCAATGCTGCACAACCTGGCCATCACCTGTTTGCTACCTCCTTGCAGAGGTCCCAGAAGAAGTGGCTCTTCAGGAGGTACTTGCAGGAGTAGAGGGTAGTAGCCCTACAGATTAATTCAGAGAGGACATTTCATGCACAGAGGACAGAAGGGTGGGGGGGCTTATGCTGCTACTTATGCACTACATGGGAACACCTACCATAGTTTTAAACATACACAGTGAATGTGCCTCAAATCAAATACTTAACCAAGAGGCATTAGTTTTATCTTACAAAAACAAAGACTGTAAGTACAGAACACACTAAACTTAATATTGTCTAAAGAAGACTCACTGGAAATTATCTTACCGGTCAGCTATTGCTTTGGCCATAAAGTAATCTTCAGCAATGTACTGTGCAAAAGCTATCAGTCCTCCAGCTTGGTCTAATACATCCTTTCTCATCAGGCAAGACATTCCTGTTACACATTTGAAGCCAGTTACATTGGCAGAAATATATGATCTGGGATGTGAAGTGCCAAAATATACCTACAAAAAGAGAACAGTAATAAATCGGGCTTTAAAACTACGCAGACAATTTGTGCAAATTATTTTTCTGGTCAAATGACTTTCTACTTCACTTATGGCATCTTTACTATCAGATTTATTTCTCTAAAAGATTTTGACAAGATAATGGCTAGCTAGAGGTGGCTGACTTCACTAAGAAACTTGGCAGAAACCTTTCAAGCAGCTACAGTTTTTGTATTGTGCTATCTATTTGCTTTGAAACACCTCTGCCTGCACAGTACAGAATAGCATAGAAAGAATCAAAAACTACACGTTCACTTCTTGTCCTAAACTGAGGAAAGCAGCTTTGTTTCAAAAGTTTTTCACTTTAAAAACGCAAATATCAATCGCCCATCTTGTATTAGGCACAATGCGGTTTACTTGTTAATGTATTAATATTTGTTATGAATTCTTACTGCTTTACATTGTCTCATTCCCACAAAGTATTTATTGTGTTTCACTGCCCTATTATGAGTACATAGTCCAAGAACTCAGACTTAGATAAACAAGGTTTTAGGACACAGGAGACCAGAACATATTACCCCTTCTAGAATTCTGCAACTATCCATTTGAATCTATAACACTAGTGCAGAACACAAAACACAGCAATTTTGATGAACTGTCTCAAAAACAACTTGATCTAGAATAAAATAAAACTGTGGTCCCACGAGTCCTCAAATCAGAATGGTGTACAGTATTGATTTTAATAAGGGTAGATGGAGAATTTTGGAGTTATTTATTATAAAAAATATGAAGCTGAGGTTTCACCTATAAACATCATAATCAGCTTAGAAGAACTTCCAAGGGCCTATGAGGAATCCAGCAGAGCTCATGTCACCAGCCCTATCCACCATTTGTGCTCATTTGCAGACAGGCGCACACACATACACACACAGCAAACAGTTAAAGGATTAGATTTTTAGGTGGTAAATGTCAATTTCACTGTACACACACAAACCAACAAAAAATATTTGTCAATAATAATTGAAATTTACAGATAGGCAAGTAAGAAAAATGTTGCTTGCGAACTTAGTGTTTGATTTAAGGATATTTATGCTGTATATTTTGACATATGATATTGACCATTTCTGCTTAAACGGTTATAAAGCTTTAATTTTTTGCATCTCAATGTCTGTCATTAAGTAATTATTGTCTGATCCCCACAAAAATTTCCCATAACTGAAAATTCAAAATCAATAAAAATAGGAAATGCTTAAAAATAAACATCTATATTATCTGTTGAAATTATAAAAAAAAATAAAAATAGAGTTCTGCTAAGCTTATCAATAGCATGTCAGAGATTAAGCAATTAAGTATCAGTTTGTAAACTGAACTTTGCTCTGCCAACTGCCAGCATCAATTACAATGTAAAAAACTGGCATCATTAAAGTTACTTGACAAAATATTAACATTGCAAGTATAGTTCTTCAAAACCAAAACACTAAGTTGTGGAAGTTACAAAATCAAAGTGTGTTATCAGATAGCACTCAGGCTGGAAATCTACACTAAAGAACTGTTCACTGGACTTCTGTAAAAGCAAGCAGAAATGTTTGAGAATCTGGACATGTGGAGTTTGGTACCCATTCCCTAGCAATAATGCACTTAATAGGGTCCTGGCTGTAAATTTAAAAATACACGAAGTTGCTGAGTACAAATTCAGATTTTAGAAGAGTGTAGCATACACAAGTTAAGTTAGATCTTTGTTTATCTCGATGGCACAGTATCACTAGTAATATTGTATTAGGAGGGTAAGGAAAAGTTAGATATCCTAGTCAATATATAGTGTGAAGAGTGGACTGAGTCATACGACTACTCATTTCACTATGTCAGTGGTCTCCAAACTTTTTTCATCGCGTACCCCTATCAGTATCCCGCCCGAACTGCCGCGCACCCCCAAGGATCCTCTTGCGCACCCCCTGGGGTGCACGCACCCCACTTTGGAGACCACTGCACTATGTGATGGAGAATTGAGGGCAGTGTTTCTGGACTACATAGAGGTATCTCTCAGTTATGTGGTGCTTTGGGGGGGATGTGATGGTTCAGTATTGGAAGCGTAAAGGAAGCCTGGTGATTGGTCGTGAAGGGTTATCTAGTGAATAGCTAAAGGATGTGCTTTGGCAAGGCAAAAAATTCAGTTTTTTTGGGGTGGTTTTTTTTTTAAAATGGAAACTTCACTTTGGATTTCCTGAGATTTTAAAGTTTTGTTTATTCAAACTACAGCATTTTAATTTGATCCTTTTTATTTACATCATAAATTTCCAACCACTCTAAATGAAGTATGGTCTTCAGGAATAAAACATGCACATCACCACAGTTCCTATAAGTGGCCCATTAGTGGTTTTACAAAAAAATTACTAGAAATAAAGTGTTTACTATCAGATCACACACAGACTGCTCCCGTGTCTTACCTTAAGCCATTACGGTTCCTTTGTTCACAACTAAACTAAATGTTTTTACCCTAGGGATGGTTCTTCAGAAGAGGTGGCGTATATATTTCTGCTTACAATTATATTAAAGTAAATATTTATGAAGGGTGAAATTCATCCAAGGGCAAATACTCACAAGTCTCTCCAAAATTTTTTAACCCACAGTACCCCTCCGGGTGGGCAGAGGGGCCTTCAGGGCCAGCATGAAAGCCCTTTTGGCAGCAGAGTTGTGACTAGGCTGCTGGGACATCAAAGGAGGGGCTATTTGTTCTGTAATACATGGATCCAATGGACAAGAACTGCTGCTTAAACAAAGGGCAGTAACAGTCTCACTTCTAGTTCACAGCAAAGAACTTGCCCTGCCAGCACATCAGAGGTGAATTCAAAAGCTTCCCCCACCCCACAAAACCACAGAGGAAGCTCAATCAATTGGGCCCGGTGCTGAAAGCAGTGACTTTCCTGGTCAGTTCTCACAAACTTTATATAAAATAAAGGTTTTAGATTTATTATAAAGTTGTAATCTTAGACACTGAACCACAGGCTGTCAACACTGTTACAATTTCCTGTAAACTAGGCTTAATACTCATGCGAATGTTATAAAATATTTTTTTTAATTTATATATAAAAAGCTCATTAAAGGTAAAACATATTGTTGGAAAGAAACCACAACAAAAGAAAGTAATATTGCACTCACCTGTTCTAAAGTGGCAGCAAAGCCCTGTCTGTCTGCTACATAGGGCAAACCATGGACCAAACCAACTTTCTCTGTCATTTGATTGGCCATATCAGTTAGGGTGTCTGGTGTTACTAAGTAAATGATAAATAGATTATTAGTATGCAAACACTGTATGCCATTTGTTCTATGAAACCATTTGTTCATTATTAGTAGTGAAGTTCACTCTATAAAGATATATTCAAGCTTATATTCTACTACTAAAAGTGCAGAAAAGGTTAGTCACATATTTGGTGAACTATATTTTTGTGTAACAAAAAATTCCACTAAGACTGGAGCTGTCAACATTTACAGTCTAGCATAATTTTCTAACAATTTGCAGACTGGCAGCAGTGGGACAATAAAAACTGACACCAATTTTTTAAAATTAGATTTTCTGCAAAAGGAGAAATACCTGTAGTTATGATTGAGACCTGAAATTAGAGTACAAGTAACTCAATCACTAGAAGTGCAAACATCCTCTAAAACTAAAAATTGGATGTGCTACTTTAACTGAAAGACATTACTTAGGATTAAAGTCTCTTATTTTTTTAACTTGTACATTACAGCAAGAGACATGCCTATTTCATCTTAGAGTGTGTGTGTACAAAACCACCAATCAGTTAGTGCCTGTGTCTGTGCAGAGCTATACACTGAGCATTAATCACACAGGTGCAGCTTAATTTAGCTTTGGAGTGATCAACAAAAATCCACTAAATTGAAGTACAGACAACATTTCATATAATTGAATTCAGAAGCCATGTCATTTAAGATCCCAAATTAAAGCAGACCGTGTCCTTTAACAGTTGTAACTCAACTGGAAGTCAATCTTAATGTATAGACTTATGAGAACTAAATTGCCTGTCTAGTGGTACAGCCAAGAAGCAGGTAGTCAGTAGGCAGTATTGTATTTTTAAAGAAAGACATTCCAAATACCACCATCACACCATACACCTACCTCTGATTCCACTGTCACATATCCATATGAGATCATACTTGGCAACTTCATACCCTGGCATTAAATTGTTAATTTTGGGGTTGATGCCAACCTTTTTTCCACCTTAAAATTAAAAATAAAAAAAAACAGTTATACACATCATGCATGTTTCCAAAATCCAGAAGCTATTTTACAAATATGTAATAGAATACAGACTCTATACCCCTCCCCTCCAAAATTAGGGTGGTAGTGGTAAATGCTAACCTTCACTTCTGAAAATCTATTCTGGTCGTCTTAGCCAAACAAAGAAGACAGTCGAAGCCTATGTTACATGTGACATATATTCATCCCATTAACAGATACTGTAGTTTTTCCAAAGAACATTTTTATTAAATTTTGTATCGAAGAGACAATATTATAAGCTCACTAAACTACTGTTTATCACACTAAGGGCCCTGTACATACAACAGCTATCTGCTGGGGCTCAGAGACTGCATTCTAAGGGGTTAGAGTCCCCTTCTCCTGAGTTTGCCAACTCAACTGATATTATATATAGCAATGACTCTCTTGGGTATGACTTTTGTGTGTTTGTTTGGGTGGGAGAATAGAATTAAAAGTTCCTTGGTGCAGGGACCAATTTGTTGTTCTGTGTTTGTACAGCAGATACAATGCAATGGGGTCCAGGTCCATGACTGGGGTGCCTAGGCACTATGGTAATACAAATAAAAATAACCACCACCTCAGCATTTTTGTCCCTAGCTGAGTACCAGACATCATTCAGTTTGTTCAAAGTTAGGCAGGGACAGCAATAGAGATTTTGGGCACTAAAGCTCCTTTCCCCTCCTTTAAACACAAGGCACATAGAGGAGAGGAGGTGGTCCTATCCTACAAGTGTGTAGAGTAGGAAAATGTCTTGGGAGCAGACCTACTATCATGAAGGTACGTGGTAACACTCTAAAATCATTTCTGGGTATTCAGGCCTAGCCAACTGGCATCGAGGTCCAATGCACAATTGTTTTTTGCAGTCTTAAGGCTGAAGTAATTGATAAGCTGCACAGCCCTAGCGCTGAGAGGAGTGATTCTGGAGTAGAAGAGAGTGGCTAATATTAATTCGCACAAATTATCCTCCTTGGAGTTTGTTTTTTTAATTGGCATCAGGATGTCGATGACAAGCTTACATTTCCTTCGAATAGGCTGTTCTACTACAGAACCAGCATCCACAGACAAATACAAGTTTCCCAGTTTAGAAGACTCCACACATTTTTTTGCTGTTAGCTTCTTTACGATCCATTTATAAAGGCATGAATTGTGCCATGCAGTTGTATTACTTACCTATAAACAATCTAGCATCAACATTCGGGTATTTGCCAAGGAGCTTTTTACACACATCGATGGCTGGATCATCATGATCTTGTACACACAGGAGCACTTCATACTAGTAAAACAAGATTTGATGCAAATGGGTGTACAACTTATTAAAATAAGGAAATAGTTACAGTCTACAAAACTCTACCAAAACTTGGCACAGGAAGCAGTGTTACAGAACTGAAGGATTTGCTTTTACACATCAATAGCTACAAGTACTGTATTATCAGTGAAGAATGCTGTTGTTAGAGTATACCATCAGTACTTCTGAAAAAAAACATATAGCCTTCAGCCCCAGAGAACATTTTTGTACTTGTAAAAGATTAAAGAATTTTCTTTTGTGTTACTGGAAAGGTATTTTTATGCAGGAAACAAACATCATTATTGTACAGGAAAAGTTAAATGTTTGATTCTCTCTTTCACACACACACACACACACACACACACACACACACGAAAACCAAATTTATTTTGCAATTACATTTTAAGAACCCCAAAATATTAAGGATATTTTTTAAGGCTACAAGTTATCAAATATTCTTTCAATTATTACTACAATAAGACTGAAACCAACTATTGTGCTTAAGTGTTTACATTGCCTTTCACCAAAAACTTGAGTTCCCAACAATGCAGCTTTCAGGAGCAATGCTGTATTTAGTCCCTTTCCTGCAGAACTTAAGGCACTTTGCCAAGTACTTGCGGAATAAAGCGTTTGAAGGCCTGATCCTGGAAAGGAATCCTCAGACAGCCTCTTACGCCCACTGGGAGTCCCAGCAAAGCCTCATTTGTAATGTCACTACAAAATTTCTGTTTTAGTTCTTATATACATAGCATTGTAAAACACACTCTAATAATGCCTAGCCCAGTATTTCAGAACAACTCTAAGACTACACTTCTCAATTCAAGTCCTAAACCTAACATTCCCAGGCCCACTATATAAAACTAAAAACAATTAAAAACGAAGATATGGCTATTGGTTGTATGAAAAAAGGGGAAACCAAAGAACAAATGGGACAAAAATGGCAACATAAGGTGGCCATAAAAGAGTGTTTAGCCCACTGGGTCATTTTCAGTTCACGCATTATGCTTTACCAGAATGATGGGTAAACATCCTCCACATTTGGGGGAAAAAAAAAAAAAAAAAGAAAGAAAGAAGCAGCAGCAGGGAACATAATAGAGAGAGAGCCTGAAGCACTGGGTATGATGCAAGATTTGAGTCCTGAACCAGAGGCTGTAAATCAAAGTCAGGCCACGTATTAAAGTAAATGCTTACAAGTACACTGTTTGGTACATAAACTTGGCAAAGCTGTTGCTAGTTTAGTGCGCACGAAATAGTTATATAACTATATTGCAGAACACTATGGTACAAATACACCCCAATCTAGCACAAGATAAGATGGTTTGACAGAATAATGAGTAGGGATGTTGTTCCTGATATCTCGGCTACAAGGGAGGTAACAAACAGATGTCATGAAATACATAAGGTGGTACGTAAGTTGTTTGTCTCCATCTATCGTGTAAAAATAAAAATTCACATTATACTCTGATAGCTCTAGCACAGGCCACCAATTCAACTTCTGAAAAAAGTAAACTCAGACATACCTTTGGATAATCCAGTTCAAAGAAGGTCTCTAAATTGTTGATGAGGTTAGGATCTACACCTTTTAATGGCTTTAGAAGTGAGACACCAGGAAGCTTGCTATAGGGTTGTTTGTCTGTTGCTTTCTTGTTGAGGTGGAGACGTCTGCAAAAAAAATCATCTATATATATATAGCTATCTTTGAAAGTATTTCTGATCTTACAAGTAAACTACACACCAAACCTCACATCTTTGATCTAGTTAGTTTCAATCCTCCCTTGAATCAATCAGTCTGAACACCAAGTAGTTCACAATATTAACTTAGAAAAAAGTCACATTGAAAAATATTGACACTAGTTTATTTTGTGCATTTGATTTTATCTAATCAGTTTCTCTGCTCTTCTGTGTAGTCAGTTTCCCCTGTTTGTATGGGTCTTTCACACAGCAAGAGAGGAGAGAGGGGAAAAAAAGCTATTTATATAAATAGATCACACAATTGTAAGAATTTAAAAAAAAGCAGGGGCTCTACAGCAGATGTGCACTTGAAACTACTTCTAACTCTTTTTAAAAAAAATTGTTATCACAATCTAGTCAGTGTCCCTTTAAAGCAACAGAGTGAAATGAGGATCAAAGCATGTCAGACTGAGCTATTAATGGGAGTTAAAATGTTATAATTTGAACTCTATTTCTATGAAGTTTTACGACACATGGCAACCAAGCTACGCACTTCATAAGGGTAGGCATATTCTAGGGGAAATAATTACATCAAAACACATTTCAACTACATAGTGACACTATGTCTAAATTTCACAGCCTGAAAGCTGTAATAGTGTAACTTACCAGTTAATGTTTTAAATAAAAAGGCAACAAAAACCATGAAAAATGAGCACAGAAATTTTACAGGAGAGCTAAATCTATTTTCCACAAGTTTGTCTTCTAGTAAGAAGTATGTTAGAACAGCAACACAGCCTTTTAATTTTAAGGGAAAAAAGGTTTTTGAGACCTACATTTTCCCTTAAAGCGCGGAGACCACCAGTATTTCAGCAGAAGAATCAGAAAGAGAAATGGACTACAAACAAGGGTGAAAATGACTTGTTTACTTCACTGTCCAAGCTGAGCAAAAAATATAGAAAGTAAACAGCACAGTGGGGTAGGGAGAAAGCTTTTTAAGTATAGTTTTATTTCATCAGGTAACAAGGATACTGTAGTTTTACTGCCAAGTAACAGAGGGGTAGCGGGTTAGTCTGTATCCACAAAAACGAGGAGTTCGGTGACACCTTAAAGACTAAGATTTATTTGGGCATAAGCTTTCGTGGGTAACAAACAAACAAACAAACACACACTTCTCCAGAGGCATGGAGTGAAAATTACAGATACAGGCATAAATATAGGCACATGAAGAGAAGGGAGTTACCATACAAGTGGCGAACCAGTGTTGACAAGTGATTCTCCACTTGTAATGCAACTCCCGTCACTTCATGTGCCTATATTCATGCCTGTATCTTTAATTTTCACTCCATGCCTCTGAAGAAGTGAGGTTTTTTTACCCACGAAAGCTTATGCCCAAATAAATCTTAGTCTTTAAGGTGTCACTGGACTCCTTGTTTTTATAGTTTTACTGTATACAATTAGCTTGACCAAATTCCTTTGAAAAGCTGTGTATATGAGACCCTCTGGAAATCTACTAGCACATTATGCCAAGAATAGTAATAATCCAAAAAAACAGAATGGTTTCAGAAAATGGCACAGGATTGCACTATAGGGTTTAGTGCCCTTGGGGGTCACCTGCCTTTCAGACACTATGGCTATGGCTACATTACGCAGCTTTTAGCGACAGAGCCATGCCGCTAAAAGAGGCTGTTCACACCGGCGCTTTTAGTCGGTAAAACTTGTGTCGTTTGGGGGGGGGGAGGGGTGTTTTTTTAAACACCCCTGAACGACAAAGATTTTGACGCCAAAAAGCCGGTGTAGACAAAGCCTAGGTGTATGACCCACTCCCAACCCTGTTCCCCCTGCCCCCCCCCCCCTTTTTTTTTTTTAATATCTACAGCAGAAGCAAGAGAGTGTTGACAATGACAGTCAGCTGCTGTGTAGATGGCAAAAGTGGTAAAGTAATCCACTTCACGTGGGTGTTCAAAAACCAAAGTCCCATCTTCAAAGTTTTAGAAGGAAGTGACTGACTTCATAGTGCTACTGTGAAGATCATAGAAAAATAATGTTAAAAGAATATTATGGTTGCATAGACAACCACTCAAGAGTCAGTAAGTGCCAAAATTAAGATTTCCGGTATAACTTTAATTCTGCCGCTTTGTGTGTATGCATGATGACACACTCTTCAGATATTTGATCACATACTATTCCTCCCCCCCCCCCCCAAATGCCCCTGCCTCCTTATTCAGTGCACAAGATGGATGATGCTCAGGGGACAAATAAGATTGGTGTAATAAGCAAGGCTGTCATCTCTTGCTTCATTTACTGCAAAAATTGCAGATGTCAATCTCTAGTAGGATCAAGAGGCTCGCAGGAGGCTCATCTCGAAGCCATTGTGGGTAATGCTAACACTGCAAGAAAACACCCACAGCTGGCCATGTCATCTGATTCATGCTCAGGCTGTAGGGCTATAAAACTGCAGTGCAGATCTTCAGGCTCAGGCTGGAGCCCAGGTTCTGAGACCCTGGGGTGGGGTGGGGGTGGTCACAGAGCCCAGGCGCCAGCCTGAGCATCTATACTGAAAATTTATAGGCCCACAGCCCAAGCCCAAGTCAGCTGACATGAGCCAGCTAAATGCATTTTATTGTATTGTAGACATTCCCTATGCAGTTCAGAACCCAGTTGGTCCTGGTGCGGGGTCAAAGGCTCCTGGACTAAGGGCCAGGTATGTACACAAAGCTCTCTTATACCATTCTACACCAACTATAGGTATCTATTATTAATAATCTAGGGTAAAGGAAGACCTAGCCTGAGGAGATCAAAGAAGATCTGGTAGGGGGGGACAATTTGACTGTGATGAAAGAGAACCCTGGGAGAACTGGAGACAGTATTGAGGGGAAGTAAGGAGCCAGAGAACGAAGAGCATCCAGGACAGAACAGAGTGGCAGATGCTTCGCAACACAAGAATAAGGACACTGGGGCAGATTCAGGGAAATTAGAAGGTGGAGAACAAGATAGATGAGGAAAGGAAATGGTGCTGGGAGAGCACATTTGGAGGAGGAAGGAGGCAAGGACAAGTGAGGACAGGAGACCCAGAGAAGGAGAAGGGGGCAGAGAAGATTGAGTGGGAAATAGTTTTAATAAAAGAAGGAAGGGTCATGAAAAAGGACGAGAGATTTTGTGAAGTGGGAGAAAGATAGAAGAGAAAGAAAGAAGAGATCCCAAATAATGAAGGGGGGAAACATTGCTATGGAGAACATTGGACTACATACAGTGTAATGGAATAGGATGGCTGGAGAGCCTGGAGCTAAGCCAACGCTGATTATAGGATGAGCCTCACCTGAGAGGAATTATGTGATTCCCATACAAAAGGAGCAGGATATTGCAATGAAGTAAGGAAACCCTGGAAATTAGTTACACATTGCAGGAAGCAAGAAAGCTTCAGCAGGGCCCTCAGTAAGTGGGGGAAAAGCTCAAGAAGCAGGAGAAAGTGATGACAGTTCTCCAGGCAGGGAGGCCTGAGAGCCACCCTGTCCAAGCAGGGGCGAGACTGGAAAGGCCTGTGGAGAAGGGCAAACTAAAGGCAGAAGATGCTGGGAAGCAGAAAGACCCCCTCAAGGAGGTGGGACTGTGCCCATCTGAAATTGGGATGAAGACTGAGTTTGTGTTCTATTTCTGAAAGACCATGGTGTTATTTTGGATTATGAGGAAAGACAGTGAACTGGGGTAGAGGCCCAGAGTGCCAGTATGCACCTGGACCCCAAGGGGAGACTGTTTGAAATACTTTTGAATTGAGTGAGTTCTTAAAGTACCCGGGGGGGAGGGGGGAGGGGCAGGAAATAGAGGAAGGGTGCTTTTAAGTGACCTCTGGCCACGAGTGGGATCATGGGAGGTGGTTGCCCGTGTTACTTACACACATGCACATGGAGAAAATAACCATGTGAAAAAGATTATCCTGCATCTTTGCCTGCCCACTAATTAATATCCCAGGATGTCAACATTCCAGCCCAAGAGCAGCTTTGAACAGTCATCACCGCAAACCAGCCAGATAAGATTTCTTCCTCCGTACCTCAAACACAGATTTCTTCCCCTCCCCCCCAAAAAAGTATTTCTACCCGAAGCCCAAAACAGGCAGGATTCAATCTTGGGCTTGTGTCACCTTTTTGTACATAAAACTGTTATGAGTTTGAATTCCTGTGTCTCATGTTCTTCCACAGCTAGAAGAAAGTGCTGTGTCTCCTTTTAAAAACTGCAAATTACTCTTTTTTCCACTGAGATAAATTTCAAATTTCTAGCCCTACGGGACCACGAGATACCTAGCTTTGAGGTAGTTATTTTTAAGGACAAAAAAAGTCAACAGTGGCCCAGGACTCAATCTTGGATGACCTGGCCTGGGGGGGGGCAAAGGGGAGGCTACTTTCAGGGGAAACTACACATTTTGGGGAGAAGGAAGAAATATTTCTGGGGCAGGTTAATTTAAAACGAAGTGGTGGTTGTTTGGACTATTAGAATGAGTAGCGGGATAGATTAGAGCAGAGTGGAAACGAGGTGGTCCAAAGTACAAGATAAACTGCAGATCCTTGTGATAATTATGAAAGTAAGTTCCTGATATAATAGTACATGGAGGAGGTACTGTGGATACCATATCTACGAGGGGCATGAGGCTTGCAGTGTTGACAGGGTCCTCATGAGAGCAACAGAGACAGAAGGCATCTGTAGAGGCAGCTTCTTCTTTCGTGGAAGAAAAGTTACTCTATTGCTAATATTACTGTAAAAAGCATGCATGTGCACTCTGGATGATAAAGAGACTGGAGCACACTAAACTAGTACAAGCCTCATGGTTTACTATCAGTGCCATGAACGTACAGACAGCCCTACTATTACAGTACTACCGTGATTTTAAAATTTCATGACGACTTCCATGCTAATAACCACACAGACAGGTTTTCCCAGTTATGTAGCACAAGAATAAAAAGACAGATTTGTTTGTTTGTTAAGAAATATTTTATACAATAGATATGAACTGCTCATGCTGGGGAAAGCTTGTCATTTTCAGAATGTAGTAATTTGTTTGAATTGGCAATGATAAAAACAATTAAAAGGTATTAAATTTTATTGGAAATATGGCATAAAAACACTCTAGGAGATATAAGAACAGGCTTGTTAAAAAGTAGCTATTGAAAGAGAAGAGTGAAGACAATTGGGGTGATTAGGCAACATTTACATTTTTTAAAAGTATTTTGGATCAGGTTTGTGCATTTTAGAATGTTAACAAGATTTAAACTAAGTCACATTTATAGAAAAGAGTGCCAGTAGAAACTTAACTGGATTTGAATGTGCTTTCTCTAAAATATGAAACAGACACTTTTACCCACTAGGCTACAATTATGAGAACTGACATCTATTAAGTTAGCCATAATAGGGCTACCCATTGCCTTTGACTGCAATGAATGAAAGAAAGACAGAAAGAAAGACATTGAGATTTACAAGGGGGAAAAAGTTGCTAACTGTAAAAAGCTATGAAGTTCTAGGTCTAAAACTTTATGCTCTTTGAGACCAGAGTGGTGTTTTTCTTAACTGTTTGAGAACATGGCTGCTGCATTTTGGGCACTATCACAAGGCTAGCTATCTATATATCAAGTTATTTCTAATCAAATTTAAGGGCTAACATTTCCTTGTGATATGTAGTGGTGAACTGCTGTTGTAAGGGTAAAGTTGACAAAATTCTTTAAGTTTGCTATTTTGTTTTTAAATTAGTACTCACAAAGCTATCATTCTTCTCTCTTTAGATAGGATACCTAAAGTATTTACCTTCTTCCACCTTCCTCAACTCTCAGAGCCTGTACCAAGGGCTGTACCAAGTTTGCTCTCCTTCCATAAAGGAGTATTTCCTAGGTGCCTATTGTGGAATATTATTATCTGGGAATAAACAATAATGGCTTCATTCCAAGAACACTGTGTGCACACATTACTGTAATTCTCTGGGAATTTAGGTTTTACCTTTAACTTCAATGGTTACTAGTTTTCTTTTTATGAATTAGATATTTTCCTCAGTGTGAAGTGAGTGCTTTGTAAGAACAGCTCGGCTTTTCATCATTTTTCTATGTCAACAAATAGCCTTCCCCTCCGCCAGAGGTAATTCTGTCATTTCTCTTTTCTCCAGAGCCAATATACAGTACTTTACTGATACCTGTATAATCAGTCTCTAAAGCATTCAGTTGAAATAGATGCTACAGGTCTTTGACAAAAGTCTATACCACATCTACAAATTCTCCAGGACAGCTTATTTGCAAAGCCAAAGGCTTGGCATGACTCTCCATATTGAAAAAGCCACAGTCCAAAATGTAATACACGGTTTGCTCTGTATGCCTGGCAGCACCCATGGTGAACTTCATTTCCTTTTGCTGACTGCTCAACAACAATTTCACAGTGTTTGAATGATAGATCTTTTCTAGTTTTGAAGTGTCTAATTTTGTGTGTAAGTCACACTGTCAATCCCATGAAGTAGTAACTTACTGGAGCAGCATTTGCTGCCAACAGGTGTCCTGTAAACCCATCCTCCCCAATACCATTCATTGCTTCGGGGAGAGGGGAGCGTCAAGTAACGCCTGCCAAGCTGCAGCAATTACCTGACCTGTTCGCGGTTATCTGAATTTCAGTCACAGAAGGAGTACAAATGTCCAAGTCAATCAGGTGACCAAAGAATTGAATCTGAGGACATCTGCTGTTTTCCATAGCAACTTTGCACACAAAACCTGCAACTATTCCTTAATTTGTTGTTTTCTAATCACTTTCACTGTAGTCCAACACATGAGAAGACAGTGCTTCAAACAAGCATGTTATCCCTTTCTCAATGGGTAACTTAGTTCAGAAAGAAAAACCAAGGGATGGGAAAGACTTTTTTTAAGCCATCAAAGAAAACAAGAACAATAGATCTTCTGTAATTGTTTTTTTCCTCCAACTTAAGTAAATTCATTCTTCGGCAGCAGTTCTCATGACAACTCAAGTTTTTGACAAGTACAGTTCAAAACCAGTTGAATAATGGAAAACAATCCTCTCATGAAGCTTGCATAGTGTACCTAACGCTTTATATTCATTTGCACTGAGTACTGAAATTCCTCTTGGTTTGTTCTGTGATTTTCTGATTAAGAGTCAGGAGACTTGAAACATTTAGCAGCCTCAAAACACCACTACTGGGTATGTTATTGTAATGACATCTGCAACATTTATCCTAACCCCTGTTTTAGCCCATGGAAGGTACCACTATTCATCTTGCTGACTCTAACGTAGCTTTCCTTTTCTGAGAGTGAAAAACAACAAACGCTTTTGAGGGCAGATTCCTGGGTAATAAGATACCACTGTCCAGTCCAAGACACAATGAATTCCCTCTTTCTAAATGGTTTCAGAGTGGTAGGCGTGTTAGTCTGTATCAGCAAAAAGAACGAGGCATACTTGTGGCACCTTAGAGACATGAAAGCTAATGCCCAAATAAATTTGTTAGTCTCTAAGGTGCCACAAGTACTCCTCGTTCTCTTTCTAAATGTTACTCAAGCCACCCCAACAAAAAAGTCTAGAATTAACATCCCCATTTTAAGTCTAACAGAACATTCTTTCCGGAAAAATTGTTGGGGCAAATATAAGAAACTTGCCACAGCACAATGGCTGCTAAGTCTTTCAGCTGAAGTAGTAACCCACATGCCCTTAATAATGATACTTTAAAAATGTTTGAGAGTGTTTTCATTACAGGATTATGCTATTCCTTCAGAAACTACCCAAATACAGATGGTTTCATCATGCTCGGCAAATAATCTTTAAACAACAATTACAAGCATCTGTCGACTAATGTCAAGATATCAACACTACTAGCATAAGGTCTGGAAGTTTTGCAGATATTGATTCTTAAGTATCTCTAAGGCACATGACAACAAAGTGATGTCTTTCCAGAGTTACGTATGTAGTACTTTTAACATACCTCACTCATAAAATGCACTATGTCACGGGGCCAGGGAATAAAGAGCACTGAATTGGAAATGCACATTCAATACCATAACTTGAAATTAACTTCGGAATTTGCTTAAGGATGGCTTTTCTGTAGAATCCTGTGTTTAACTGCAATAACTGCTTTTCACAGTGAAAAGTGGGGACAGTATAAGATGTATTTGTAAAGAATTCAGAATTTCATCAATGAACTGGTTATGCAAAATAGTTCTGCACTTGGGAATGAAGGTGGCTACTAATTCTAAGTTTCAATATCCCACAACATTAACTCTGCCTTAATAACCTATACATGTGACTGTTTTATAGTAAATTGCCCAATGGCCTTTATATCTAATTCTATTTGAAGTCCACTGGATCCAACCAGGATTCAAAATACAGTAATCAATCGCTCAGTACACTTGGTAGCTGCACCACAAAGGGTTTGTTTAGTTGGCTGGTTTTCACTGAAAGGGGGAAGGGCAGAAGAGGTTGGCAACATCTGCATCAATGCCTTATGTATTGGCACTCATGCTAATAATGATAATCTAGCTTTGCTTCCCAAGCAGAGAAAGACTATTTGCAATGATATAGTTACACTACCAGCTATTTCCTTTTCAACTTTACTAATTTGCATTTTGCTACACCATGCTTTCCAACAAATTCTGTTGGCATAGAAATGCTGTGTCATGCCACTTTGAAGGTCTGCCATGTTCTTTTTCTTATAGCAATTTCTAGATTCCAGGAAACTCCACTGTAAATTGCAGACTGTAAGCGTTTAGAACATATCACTTTTACAAAGCTCCCTGCTGAACTTTAGAACACCCTCAAACCAGCTGTTTGCTGTTTTCAAACCGATCTGGTCACTCCCCTATCCCTACAAGGGGCAATTCTCAGAGTATAATACCTTGGCCACATCAGCTCATTTTAAATGCACCTAGATTAAATTACTCCTGGGGGAATTCTGTGCCACTGCGCACATGCAGAATTCATATCCTCTGCAGATTTCTTTATGTCCCTGCAGAAAAATGACTTTCTGAAGGGGAAACAAAAGGGAAGCCACAAGAGTGGTGATGTGCCTCTCCTCAGCTCCTCTTTCCCTGTAAGCAGCGGCTGGGCCAGATTAGACCCACTCCCAGAAACTTCTTTTGGCTACAAGAAGCTCCCTTCCTGCCCCCCATCACTCCTCAGCCACAGGGGGAGGCCTCACTGTACAGGGAGCTGCTCCCCCTTCCACCCAACCCCTATGCATCCGGACCCCACACACACAGACCCAGACCCCTCCCACATCCAACCTTCACCCCCCTGCACCCAGCATCCCCACCAAGCCTCACCCCCTGTACACAGACTACCACCCACTGAGCCCTCCACTCAAACCCCACCCCAGAACCCCACTCCCCCAGCACCCAGAACCCCATCCCCCAATACCTAGACCCCCCCTACAGATTCTTATTCCTGCTGCACCCAGAACCCCATAAGCCCCTGTGCATCCAGATCCCTCCAGCACCCAGATCCTCCACCAAGCCACCCGCACTCAGATTGCCCCACACAGAACCCTCTCACCCCACACCTGGAGCCCCCCACACTTGGATCCTGCCAGGCTGAGTCTACCTGAATCGGGGATCAGGGCTGGGCGTGTGTGCAAGCCTCTTTCCCTCTTGCTTGCTATCTTGGTGTGCCTGGTGCAGAGGAGCAGGAAGGGCCCTGGGGAGTTTCTGGGGTGGGCCCAGCCCTTGCACTGTGTCAGGGTCAGGTGCAGCCTCATCACTGAGTCCATGTCCCGGGGGGTGGGCTGCAGGGTGATCTCCTACCTCCATGCAGCCAGTGGCCTGTGCTCCCCACTGTCACGCTGGAGCCTCGGTATTTATTTACTGACAAATAAAATATGCAGCATTTTAAAATATTGCGTGCAAAATTTTTATTTTTATGGTGCAGAATTCTCTCAGACATAAGATTAGTTCTAGTGATAAAAGAGCAACTAAGGAAAAAAAAACATATGCAGAGGCCATTATTGTATCACACGATGCCTCGAGTCCAAAGTGATGATTTAACCTACAATATTTTCTGAGAGTTGTGAAGTTCCCAGATCTCTGGTCTTCATTCCATAGTTTTCTTTTCAATTGCTTCAAATGGGTAGTTAAGATTTGGGGGGAGGTGTCAGAAGAGAAGGAGGTAAACTTTCCCTATTGTATCCCATCCTACAGAGATGACTACAGAAGAGTTAGAAAGAGGACAGCATCAAGGAATCCAACTTCTGCAACACAAAGCACAAACAGCCGCTCTGGCTACTTTCCAGGATCAAATGGCCACAACCAGGCTATTTTTAAGGATGTGAGGGTGGTGGTTGTTTTTTCAAAAATAAACAGGCTCTTAGATGAATTCTAACTAGAAGTTCCTGTTTAACGATAGCTCCTACAGTTGATCAACACCCCCTCACATAGCAGTTACAAAGAAAGGGTGGCCCAGAGTCACATTTTATGAGTCCACTATGACAAAATTCTCCTCTGCCACATGTTACATACCCAGGTATAAAACGAAGAGGTAACATCTGAATGGAATGCACTGAAGCCAAGACTGGAAATAAAACGCAAGAAATCAACACATGGAAAAGACAAATGCCATGAAATAGATGAGATACAGAATTAAGGTGGAAAAACATGAGAACAGAAAAGAGTGGAAAGACTACTTAACATTTAATATATAGCTGTAACAATTCCTATCATCCACATAACTCAAAGTGTTTTTCAAAAGGTAGCTATTATTCCCCAAAGTGATTTCCCCAAAGCGTCAAAGCACAGATGAGACTAAAACCCAGATTTCCTGACTCCTAGGCCTATGACCTATCCACTGACTTGTGTACAAAGATAAACGGAAACAGGGGGATGTGACACAGAGAGAACAGAAAATCCCATTAAACAGGATTTTAGTGAAGAGAGATTTCTTAATTTTAAGTCCTCAGATAGGGCTGGTATTCTTTAAAGGAGACTGTTCCAGAACAACTCAACATATGCAGGGCATTCTGGTTCTAAGTCAACCTGAGACTTGGCACAGAGAGATTTGATCTTATTTTGATTTCTCTTTTTATTACCAAGTACTGCTTAGCATACAAAAATGGCTAGTACAATTTAATAATTTTCCCATTCCAAAAAAGTTAACACTGTACCCTCCCCCCCACCACCTCTACAATTTATGCAGAGATTTTTAATTGAGAAATCTCTTCCCTGTTCAATCAAGAATGATACGTAGACACAGGAGAAACAAGTAAGGTTGCATATAATAAGCTGTATCAGCATTAAAACTAGTGGGAGCTCCAGCACTTCTATCAGGTTAGTTAAGTGTACTTTACAGCATGTAAAACAAGGAGGTTAAAAACAAAAGACACCCCACCCACCCAGAGTGGCTGAACCAGAAGCCTCGTGTCCACTAGAGCTCTCACCAGATCAGAATGTGAGAAACTAGAGGGAATTTACTTGCATATTTTCTAATTGTAGGAAAGTCTTGTGTGTCTTCAGAGAGTTGTCTCAATATACTGAAGATAATGGGGGTTTTTTTAAACCTACTTAAGAGGAAATCCCCAGGGGACAATACAGGGCCCCATGTGT